TTAAAAAGGCTGTCGTTCCCCCACTTCACTGATTTCATCTCCTTGTCAAAGATCAGTTGACCATAGATAGATGGGTTGATCTCTGGATTCTCAGGCTGTGATCTTTCAATTGCAGATTGCCAGGATTTCTTCTGAGGTGTCTCTGAGTGGAATAGCACCCCTAATTTTTACCTTAATAGCCAAACTCTGGTGGTATAGTCTGAAGAGAGTTGCACTGCTAAACCCAAAAGTCATACTTCTCTCAGAGATTCCTGGAAGATAGCCAGACAGTCTCCTCCCATGCTATTTCTAGTCTCTGAACCCCAGTGAAGGGTCAGCTAGGAGCCAGTTCCAATTCAAAGGCAGAGTTTGAGTTCCTACCATTTGTAACACCCCTCAACACATGGAAATAAAGGACCCCAAAGAAATAAAGTCCTTCCTTGAATCTAATGAGTGCTTCTGTGAAGCAGTCTGTAGAGAGTTGTACTGCTAACTTAAAGGCTATGCTTTTCAGCTGATGGGTTCTGACTCAATGTTGTTGTTGTTATGTGCCATTGAGTTGCCTGCGATGCATAGCGACCCTATGTACAACAGCCCTAAACCCTGCTCTATCCCATGCCAATTGCACTGCCTCCAACACACCCATTCTTATTACCCCAGTCACTGAATCAATCCACCTCATAGAGGGTCTTCCACTCCTGTGCTGTCCATCCTCCCAAGCATGATGTTCCTCTGCAAGGACCGGTCCCTCCTTATAACATGTCCAAAGTATGTCAGATGAAGCCTCCTTGCCTCCCAGGAGCAGCCTGGTTTAACCCTCTCAAGGATGAATCTGTTTGTTTTCTTAGCAGTCCATGGTACACTTAATGCTCTTCTCCAGCATCACAGCTCAAAGGCGTCAATTCTCCTTCTATGCTCCCTAGTCATTTTCCAACTGTCTGATGCATAACAAGTGATTGCAAAGACCATGGCCTGTATCATATGCACCTTAGTCTCCAGTGTGACACCATTGCTCTCCAGTACTTTGGAGAGGTCCCTAACAGCAGACTTTCCCATCAAAGAGACACAGCGGGTGGAAGAGAGAAACAGGCCTAATAAGAAGTTCCTGCGTGGTTCAGGAAGTTAACATTCCTAGCTGCTAACTTAAAGATTGGAAATTTGAGATTAATGAGTATTTGAGAACAAAGACTTGGGAACCTCCTTCCAAATTCTATTGCTCATAATTGCATCCTGATGTGCACATTGCTGTTGTTTAGCATTGAGTCGGGACCTCCAGTAAATCCCTCCCCCTTGGAGTAGTTGGTGGTTTTGAACCATGTGCCTTCGGGATTCCAGTGCAGCTTCTTATCAGCAGGCCACCAAAGGGGTCACCATGAGTTGAAGTCAAATAATAAGAGGCAAACGGTTTTAATGAGAGAAGAGATTACTTAATAATTGCTCGTTCCTCACCTATATTGTTGTGCACCATCAAGCGGGAGAGGGAACCGACCCATAGCTGACCTTCCAGTGCGTTTTCAGAGATTGTTAATCAGAAGGGAGGAGATTTTCCATCCCTGTCCTGAGGAGCAGCTGGTGGATTTGAACCTCATGGGTTTGGGACTGCAGTACAGTTTCTGACCATTAGGCCACAAGAGCTCTTTCAGCTAAATAAATACATTTATAAAATATGGGTGTCCTCTCTAAAGAAAAATGGGATTAATCAATGGATTGCACAATTTGATGGGCGGAGGGTGAGGGAAATGGAAAGAATTTGTTCGAATTTGTATTAGAATTTTGTAAAAACAAAAGATTAAAAGGACAAATGTTTTAATATTATAAATACAAAAATCAATATTTAAAACTAAAAAAAGAAAAATGGAATGGTTCACATGCTTTGCTTCTTTTAAAAAATTACTTTGTTTTTACTTTTTTGGGTTGTGGTTTCTTGTGTGGGGTTTTGTTGTTGTTGTTGGAGGTTTTTGTGTGTGTGTGTGTGTGAGTTTATCCTTTCAACATTCTTTAGGGAGCTCTGGTGGCTTAGTGGTAAGAAGCTGTGCTGTGATAACAAAGTCATGAGTTTCAAATCCACCAGTTGCTCCATGGCAAAAAAAGATCGGAAATCTCCACCTGTTCAATTAACTGCCTCTAAAACCCACTGGAGAGTCAGCTATGGGTCAGTTCCAACTCACTGGCACACAATAATAACAATATACTTTATACAAACTCAAATTAATAGTGACCACAAGGAAATACAGGTGTCACAAACTCTAAAAACTGCTATTGCAATGTCATCTACTGTTTATGACATGAAATTAACTTAATTAGGAATTTTTGGAAATGGAAGAAAATGTGTAATTTGATTAAAATATATACTGCAAAGCAATGAGCAGGGTATTGGCAAAAGTCAGAATATTATCTTGGTTCTTGTTATTTTAAGAGTCTTATTAAAAATTGAGAAAATGGCATTTCCCGTTTCTTGGGTATTACAGGATTTCATCAATAAATGAGGTACATGTCTTGGACACTGGTTTTAATTACTGATTCTTGTATTTAAGCAGATGTATTTGCTGACCTTCTTTTTGCCATATGTAGAAAACCATAATTAATTTGATGGTGATATAAGAGGTTCAGGTGATGCTGGTCAAAAGACCTGCAAGTTAACACCTTCTTGACTGTGTGAGACTAAGGGGAATGAGATTAAAAATGCTGAGCCTAGTTTGTCCTTGGTCATGTGGAATGATAATAATTCTGCACTAATTTAGGTTTGTGGGAACTGGTGATTATCTATGTAAGTCGAGTCCACAATGGGCACACTGGAAACATTCTAGAATTATCAGCAGCTCTTGCAGTCATTATTTAAAAATTAACATATAGCATGAAAGCGATGGATTGCACTGCAATTCATAGGGACCTTATGAACAATAGATCTGAACCTTGTCTTACCCTGTACCATCCTAACCATCTCTGACATGCTCAAGCCCACTTTTGCAGTCAGTGTCAATCTATCTCTGAGTGTCTCCCTCTCTTACATCCTCTACCATTCCTCTCATAATGTGTTTTCCCCTGAACTGGCCCTTCCAGCCATCATGCCCAAAGTATGTGAGATGAAGTTTCACCATTTCTGCCTCTAAAGAGCACTCTGGTTGCACTTCCAAGATAGACTTGTTTTAGAAGTCCCAAATATGATGTGAAGCTATAAAAGCCAAGAAGAGTTTGTCTTATAGTATAGGTTAGCAAATCAATGCAGCTCTCAAGAATTCTATTCACTTTTCCTGTAGTATTTACTGTCTGTCTAGACGTTCATGCCAATCAGTTTCCAAGTTGGTCCCACCTCTTCATTATGGAATGGGAATTCCATAATTCACTGGGAATAAGTCTGTCAACTATTTTATCATTATCATTCATGAAAGAATAATCTATATCATTCTCTTAAACTAGAATATTTCATATATATTCCTATACCTTAGCAGTTATTCCGAGTAGACCATTTATAATATGAAAAACCGAAATCACATGCAAGTAGAATAGTAGAATGCGCAAGTTAAACCACTAGGTGGCAGATTAACACTGCCAAATTTTTTTCGTTTACAGTTCTCACAAGAGTTTTCTGATTCTAACAACATGCTTTTTACTTCCTGTGACCTATAATTTTGTGATGAACACAAGGAGCTTAATTATACTACTTCAGTGGTAAAATTAAAAATTTTTGATATGCTGTTTGGCACAACTAGATGTATTCTAAAAAGCCAGGATGCCCAAAAGAACCTCCTAGTTAGTATGATAATTGTGTTTTCTTAAATCTAACTTTCTGATTAATCCCTGCTGAAATTCACTGATATTTCGGACAATTTTCATCACTGTTACTCATCAAATCTCAGCCGCCTCCAACTCTGCAGCCCATCTGCCCATGTGGGTCACATCATCTTTCACTTGCGATATTGTAATAGTTTTCTAATTATGAAACTTTTAAACCTGACAGGCAATGAATGGGGGTAGGAAGCAGCAAGCAAACAACAACAAAAAACATGTAAAATGTGATTTCTACCCTAGAAAGGGACACCTTTGGAGACACAAAATGTCAGCATATCATAATAATGATAAAGGAAATTTTAAAAAGTAAGTCCAAGAGAAGAACGTACAGCGTATTTTGAGAGTGAAGTGAAATGGGAAAAATACAAATATAAGGAAATAGAAGCTGTATTTTGGTCTGGATAACTTTGTAATAACAAACTAAGTAGAATTAAAACAGGGAGCTTAAAAGTCTAATTTTTCCCCCAGGATGTTTATAAATCATTGAAAGCAGAACAAGTGTTCACTCAAGCTTTAATTAAGCAGAATAAAGTTTATTTCACAGCACCACTGAGACTGAGTTAGCTGCAGATAATAAAGAAAGACAGGACATTCTCCATGAGAGGACATCTGGCCCTAGGGCTCAAGATGGAAGGTGGTGGAAAGGCCTGACGACTGGCCTGTTGGGAAAAGAGGTTGGGTTTGAGGAATACTAGAAAATGAAACTTCTCCAGAGACCATTAAGGCAAATCAAACCCACTGAGTTAAATTTGACCTATAGCGACCCTCCACAGAATATCCAAAGCTGTACATCTTTATCTGTCTCCCGAGGAGTAGCTGATGTATTTGAAGCACCAATATTTCAGTTACTAATCCAACACAGTATGTAAATAAGTGGTTCTAAATTAAAGAAGGAAGAAGAAAAGAGTTCTAAATTAAAGAAGGAATAAGAAAAGACGTATACTTGCATCTCAGCTCCCCAGAGAACTGTTTGACTCCCAAGGATATATCTAAATAATCTATGATTCAGTTTCTTCATTTAGCAATAAAAACATCTATACATTGGTGGCCTAGTTGTAAGGATCTGCACTGCCAACCCCAAGGTATGTGATTTGAATCCACTCGCTGCTCTGTGGGAGGAGGAGGGGCAATCTCCTCCTGTGGGATTTACTGCCTCTGAAAACTTGCTGGAGGGTCACCTATGAGTCAATTCCAACTTCATGGTACACAACAACATCAACATTCACTAGTTAATTTTTTAGTATTAATTATTTTAGGAAAAAATAGTTGGTTTAACCTAAGCACAGAAAATTTTATTTGCTTTTTCTATTCTCTTCAATGCTTTTATCTTGATGACTTAAACAGTGACTGGTACAACAGATAGTCAATGAGTATGTGTAAAATGAATGAATAATTAAATAATAAAGAAATTATAGGTGATATTGAATATAGACGATTGTTGTTATGTGCTGTCGAGTCGTTTGCGACTTATAGCGACCCCTATGTACAACAGCCCTAAACCCTGCTCTATCCTGTGCCAATCTCATTGCCTCTGACACACCCATCCCGATTACCTCAGTCACTGAATCAATCCACCTCATAGAGGGTCTTCCCTCCTGTGCTGTCCCTCCACTCTACCAAGCATGATGTCCCTCTCCAAGGACCTGTCTCTCCTTACAACATGTCCAAAGTATGTCAGGTGAAGCCCCAGAATCTTTGCATCCAAGGAGTAGCCTGGTTTAACCCTCTTCAGGATGAATCTGTTTGTTTTCTTGGCAGTCCAGGATACACTCAATACTCTTGTAAAAACACTGACTAGGATGTAAACATTTTTATCATCATAATAGAATAGTAATAAACTGATCGCATTAAGTACCTGTATCTCTAAATGGAGAAGCCCTGATGATGAAGCAGTTAAAACACTCAGCTCATAATGGAAAGGTTGGCAGTTTGAACTCACCAGCTGCTCCCATGGATAAGAGTGTGGCAATCTGCTTCCATAAAGATTTACAGTCTTAGAAAAGCCACAGAGCAGTTCTATTTCGTCCTCTCAGGTGGAACCTCTCAGTTGGAAGCAACTCAACAGTGGTGGGTTTGTTTTGGAGTGATTTTATTTCTGAATATGCACATTTATTATCTGAATTATCATCTAATGTTCAAATACATAATTGAGATTCTATAATCTAATGTGCATCATGGTTATCTGGTGAATAAAGTGACCCAGAATTGATTTATTGGCTATTTCACTTTCTCATTGCCACTGAGTCAGAATAAACCTCTGTCAACCCTCTATCAGGTTTTAAACATTGTAAATTGCAAGGGAGATTGTCCACCATTCTTCAATTGAGTTACTGGTAGATTCAAACTATCAGAGACATTTTCTGTTTGAAGTGAAACTAACTATGGACTGCACTGCCAGGGCTCTCTGGTTTATGGGCAAGGCCAACTGAATTAGTAAACGGAATAAATAATTCTGAGAAGCAGTGACATTTTCAGTGATACTATATCACCAAGGCTTTTGAAAAATTGATCTCAGAAGGCATAGCACAGCATATCACATTGCCTTGTGAGTAGAATGTGTAAGCACACTGTGTGGCTATGGAGTGATCCTTCATACTCAGATACTGTGCCTTCAGCCAGTACCAGCTTGTATCCCAACCTTTGCCTGGCCTGGTTCCTATCACATCTTTCAACAAGCTCAGCCAAGAATTCATTGGTATTTTCAGAATCATTCATGAACATTTTACTGCATATGAATTTTGGGTGTCAAGTATGACAAGTATCTGGAGGATGCCTGGTATAAAACAGACCCAGGAATCGTTTTAAAGAATTTGAAACTTATCATTCAGAAACAGTACATAATAAACATTAATAATAATAGCCTTGGCTGCTTTCCATTGATGTATTTAGAGTGTTTAGACTGAACCCCTACCCAAGGGAGCTCTGGTGGTCAAGTGGGTAAGGAATTGTGCTGTCAATCCAAAGGCAGACCTCTTGAATCCACCAGCTGCTCCACAGGAGAAAAATGGGCAATATCCTCCCATGCAATTTATAGTCTCTGAAAACCCACTGGAAGGCCAGCTTTGAGGTGGTTCCATCTCAATGGCACATAACTATAATGTTACTCAAGTCCTGCAAATTATGTCCCATTGTTCTCCTTTACCAAGAAGGAAAGTAATATGGAACAATGTTGATCACCATAGTCACGACACCTAGCTCACTCAGGTGACATAGCTCAGAAGGCATCTCCCACATACCACATGTGACACATCTACCACTATATAGAGGGAACTCTGGTAGTCTCATAGGTAGGAGATGTGTTGTCAACCCAACGGCATGAAGGCAGGCAGACTCCAATAGCTGTTCTATGGAAGAAAGATGGACAATCTTTTCCTGTGTTATTTGAAGGCTCTGAAAATACACTGAAGGGTCATAAATCAGTTCTCATGCAATGGAACATAACACCAAAAACCAGTGTATATAACGAGTAAAAGAGTTTAGATCTAGTATGCATAGGATTGCTACAAGTCGTAGTCAACTTGATGGCAGCTAATAACAACCACCACCATTTTTTTATGCTGAGTCTCAAAGAAAACAGTGAAATGCCACCATGGAGATGTTCAGTGAGAAAGGTTTTGGCAGGATTAAGTGCAGGAACCTGGTGCCTATGAGAAAGCCAGGGTACTGTCAAGAAATGAAGAAAAGCAGAAGTCCTCAGGAACTGGAATTTAGCGTCAACAAAATGAACCAGCTGGGGCATCCTAGGAAAATCAAGCAGCCTGGGGACAGGATGTTGTTTTCACAGCGGAGATTCAGGTTGGAATGTGAATAAATGAGGCACTGCCTTCAGCCACAGTCTCACCAAACAACAGCAGCCGGCAATTTGCCGGGTAAGTGACTTAACTGGATGCGTATAGTTTCATCCTCGGCTAGTAAGCATTTGTTGTGTTGCTAAAATTGTAATAAGCATCAGTGCTCTTCAGCCTATTTAAACAGAGCTGAATGAGTATCCTATTTAAACAGTGCTGAATGAGTGATTTAGCTGGGTGTTGTGCCTAATGAACTGGGCAGAATCCTAACTTTAGCAAAGACTTGCTGCTTTTGCCATCACAAATAAAGAAGATGAAATCTGCTTTCTTGGTTTACAACAGGGGTGTGTGTGTGGGTTGTGTGTGGAGTGGGGGGAGGTGAGTAGAACAAGACATCAAAGGAGAGAGAAAATGCCATTGAAAATAGAAAGGCTTGTATGGGTATGAAATACTTTGTTTTCCTGTCTGTATCTCTTTTTTCTCTATCTCTTGGTCTTTCATTCTTTCTCTCTCTTATCTCTCTCTCACTCATACACAAATAAACAAAGGCATACCAGACATGCCTCCCTCCCTTATTTTTTTCCTGCAATGTGCAAATTCCAATTTGTTGTGTACAAGTGAGAACTGATGCACAGCTGAGAGAATGCCCATTTTTCTCTCGTGAAGGAGCTTGTGTATTAGAACCGTATACCTTTGTGTTGGCAGTGTAATTCCTCACCACTAAGCCAACTAAAACCCTGTTGTTGTTGTTGTAGTATTATTTTGTTGTTGTTGTTGTATTATTGTGAGCCCTTGAGTTGGAAGGACCCATAGCTAGCTCTCCAGTGGATTTTCAGAGATTGCCCATCCTTTCCTATTGGAGCCCCAAAAGGATTCCAATTGCATGCCTTTAGAATTGCAGTGCAGCTTCTTACCACTAGGCCACCAGAGCTCTGTAAAATCCCACTGTTGTTTTGCTATGTACCACAGAGTCGGAACAGACTTATAGCTGACCCTCCAGCAAGGTTTTCAGAGGCAATCAAATGGGAGCAGCTGTGAATTCTAATTGCGTGCCTTTAGCATTGCAGAATAGCTTCTCACTACCAGGCCACCAGAGCGCCTAAGTTCAATGAAAATGGACTTTTTAACTGATAAAAATTTATAAGACACTATGATTTAAAATAACAAGTTGATAAGTTTTAGTCCTCTCAAATGGTGAGGTGGTAGGGTAGAGAATAAAGAATGTCACAGAATTTAGCAGTAGATATGCTAGTGGTAAGAATGATTGATGCTGAAGAGATTGGCTTGTTTGTAAACCTTTTAAGGTGAAACATGCTTGATACTTCAAGAGATGAAAATTAGGAAGGCTGCTGCTAAGATGTGAAGAAATTAAAACATTTAAGAGCCTACATTGACATGCATATATGTATGTTTTTCCAAAGTAACTTAGTTGTAGGCGTTTTCCAACTTTTACACTTCCATCACTTTTCTTCATTTTGAGTCTATTTTTTTTCCTGATATAAACACATTAGACACTCTGGTGACGAAATTGTATTAACCAATCTGCCAAATGATAGCATAAAATAGAAGCTCTGCTAATGTAGAACATTTATTTCTTCATCTATGAATTCTCGAGGATCCTTCCAAAAATTAAAAATACCCCATCTAATTCCTTAAAAGTAAAGCTTTTCTTTACTTTTGAGGGGGAAGGAAGTAGGGTTCATATACTTGTTATATTAAGTTTAAAAAGTCATTGCCATTTTTTGTGTGGTTTGAAAGAAAACAAGATTGCCAAAGGTCTTGGCAGATACTTACATCAATGTTGTTCAGGGTATTGAAGTGCATGAGATCATGCAACCTTTTGAATACTTGATTTGGATATTGAAAGTTGAAGGTTGAAAATGGTGATTCTGGGTCATCAAAAATGTCAAAGTCAGCTCTTTCTTTCTCTTCTTCAGTTTCTCTTGGGACACCTGAGATTTAGAAAAGTCACAAATGGTGTTGGTTTGATTCCTATAAAACAGTTCAAAAACTCAGAATAAAATCTGCAGATAGTCCCCAAATAACTCCGGGGTCCCCAGAGAAGCCATGTGAGCCATTCACACACTGGTAGCCCCTTTGCCTGTATCTCCTAGACTCTCCCATTTCTGTGTGTTTCGGTGATTTCTGGCTAATGGTTCTGCTTCAACTTGCCTGCAGGCTTTCTGTATTACCCTGAAGGAAAGCAGGGGAGGCTGCCTAGCCCATTAGAAGCAGCTCAGAAGTTCTAGAAAAGATGGCTCCATCCTAGGCAGCTCTTAATCAAAGACAGAAGGAAGTTGTTGTTGTTGTTGTTATGTGCC